GGAGCCACGCATGTAACTCACTTTCAGAAGTCCATTTTGCCTTTTGGATAGTCAGAAATTCACTTGAGGAAGTTACAAGCTGTTGGATGTGTTTTGTTTTCCTGTTTAGCAGTTACCAAAGAGATCATCTTACACACTTGTAGTGCTGGAAGCAGAGACAGTTGTTTTATTCTAGATACCTTCATGGAAGAAGATGTTAAAATTGGGCTACTGTTAAAATGATTGTCCAGCAAGAGAAGTGCCACCTTCCTTCAATTTGTAGTTTGTGCTTCCTAAAGGATGGCCCTGAGTCCATCCTGGGAAGAACATTCCTCTTGTTTTCAGACCTACAGGGAAATTTATTTATCAATTAAAGATCAGACATCTAGTTCTTCTCAACACTTTTTCCTTTCTATTAGCTCATGTTATTTCTGTCCCTCTCTCTTTTGCTCCTTCTGTTTCACTTCCAGTTCATCTTTGTCCTTCTTAGTGTTGTACAGCCTTCCCTCTTCCCTGCCTATCTCTAGGGAGCACGAGCAATACCAACACCTACAGAAGAGACTATGCTTTCTACCACCTTCTCTTAATCTGTCCATGCTTTTTGAGATCTTCAGGGAGTATCTAAAGAAGTAACTGTGGTCTGCATGGCTTCATGCATTTCTGGTGAGGACTGTGTGTCCTGGTTACAGATTCAAATTTTCTGATCTCCCTGACTAGCAGATACTTTCCTTGTTTTTTCCTGTGCCTCTCTGTGTGCACACAAATTAAGCTGAAGTCAGAGCAATATTCTTAATGTATAGCAGAAAAAGTATAAAAACTTTAAAAACAACACAATTGTTTAGCCTGAGATGCAGGGGAACATTTTCAGTTGTTTCTGAAGTCTATGGTTGTGTTTATCTCATAAGTCCACAGCATGGGATTGTTATTTAAGACAACGTAGTTAATGCTGTACTAAAATTTGAGTTTGATATTTTAATTGGTAGTGATGTCAAGGTTGTTCTTGTGCCCACCTTTATAAATGTCTGTACAACTTGTTTCAGTCTGCATCTTAAGTTTGAGTTCTCTAAATACTAGAACATGGGATAGATGCAAACCAAGCTTTTTTCCTCACTGAGCCAATATCCTAGAGATACCTTTCTTGGTGCTTTACTGTACAATCCATGCCTGGTTTGGCAATAAATAAATCCCTCCTCCCTTAAAACGGTTAAAATGGAGGTGGAGCTGCAGTAAAATAATTCATAAGAAAGTGAATTAATTGTGGCCTATGCATTCTGTTTGTAATGAAGGACACTTTAAGAATGAAGTACTATTTGTTATCAAATGCAGGTTTGAAGGTTGAGATCTAGAACAGCTTTCTGAAAAACCTGATGCAAGCTGTTTGGTTGTATAGTGCTTATTTTCTTTGCTCTTACTTGTCAGAACCAAGGGGGAAGGAAAACTAGATGAAGACTTAGACAACTTAATTTTCCTTCTCAAATATAATATGGGAAGCTAAAAATACAAAGTATTTCCCCTTCCTCTTTTTTTAGGGTCAGTTTAGTTTCCATAAGAATTTTAAGCAGTGGTCATAGGAGCTTGTGAGGCAATTTCTCTTGATTAAACAATTGAACTAGAAAACTCTGATGTAAAAGGTAACTGTTCCCCCTTCTTCCCTTACCTGCCCTGTGTGTATCTGTACATACACAGGTGTGCACACACTTGCTGGGTAGGACACCTCCTTCATTTGTGTAGTAAAGGTTTCCTTTGGTCCACTTGCACACTGACGATGAGGAATCAAAGTTGATTCGAATGCAGTCACTTTTTTGACACCAAGATCTAGTGCTATATGACTGTTTTTCCTTGCTTAGTTAGTATGCTAATTTAATCAAATCATGGAATGGTTTGGGTTGGAAGCAACCTTAAAGATCATCTAGGCCCAACTCCCCTGTTACAGGCAGAGACACATTTCCACTAGACCAGGTTGCCCCATCTAGCCTGGTCTTGAACATTTCTAGGGATGGAATCTAAAGTAGCCCTGTGTACCTACACTATTTTTATCATATTGTACTTATTTGTTAATTCTGTACTCAAGATTGATATGATGGTGTAGACTGAACACGAACAATAAATGTATTTGTACAAGCCGCTTTGAAATTTCCAGTTCTAGATGGAATTGTTGCTGGTTTTGAAGATGGCAGACTCTAATGCTCCTTTGCACACCAAAAAATGTGAGGAGTAAATGGATTGAAAAAAGTGCAGGAAGTATTATATGAAACAGAAGTAGGAATATCTTCTGTGCCGTGAAGATATGCTGTGACATTTGGTTCATCTAGGAAATCTAATAGGGCTGTGGGAGAGAAGTGAAATGACTCAAAGAAGATATTGTAAGCCAAAACCAAAATGTCAGTGAAGAGGTTTTTGCTCAGAAAGAAATTATTCAACATTGAATTTCAAGGTTTATTTGCATAGCTAAGCTTTCATTAAAATAATGTGGATTGTTACTTGTATTTACCTGTGGTTTTGTCTCTGTCAAAGTCAGTAGTATAGATTTTTGCCCAGCTCTTGAATTAGTGATGTTACTGACGATAATGTTCAAGCTTTAAATTTGTCACTTGCAGCAAAAATAAGTAGCCAGAGTGTCTAAGGCTCACACTTCTCAGTTTGCCCATGGAGGCTGTAGAGCCTCCATCCTTGGAGGTACTCAGAAGCTGCCTGGAGACAGTCCTGGGCAATTGGACTACTGTCCCTGCTTGAGCAGGGAAGTTGGACCAGATGACCTCCAGAGGTCCCTGCCAGCCTCAACCATTCCATAATTCTCCGGAAGTTTTCTCTCTTTGTGTGTTTGAATTATATACCTTTCATTCCTACAGATATCAGCTGTTTGACAGGTATGCTCATCTGTGTGATCATGAACTAATGTGCTTGGAACATTAATGTTTTAATAGGGCACAGTCTTATGGGTGCCTAATTGAGATTAAGTATTTACTTATATGCTCTAAGCATCTTAATTTTTTTTTATTATGGACTGTTACCAGGTATTCATTAGTGCCTATGACAGATTTTCTATCTAGTCACTTCACTGAAGTTCTTAAAAATATTACTATTTTACAGTTTTTAAGTGATCATCATCAGTGTGTGAATCCTGTTGTACGTGTGCTGTGTAGTGTAAAAACTGTTCTGCCCTTGGAGCGAGGTGTCAGCCCTGCTTTGCCATTCGCACGTCAGACTGCAGCATTGCCGATGGACCACGCAGGTGCACAGACAGGCACAGCTAGTGAGAATGGAAAGAGATTTATCCCGTTATCTGAAAACCAAAGACTATCCAAACTAGCACGAAAACCCCAAAATGGGAAAGGCTCATTAGACAGCTAACTGACTTTAGTTTCTAGTGTTTGTGCCAGTGGTACTTCTGGCCAAAAGCAATGGTTACCTCCAAATACTTGCCACGGTCGTGTCTTTTTTTCTTTGAGGGAGTGTTATTTGTGTTGTTCTAATCTTGCCTGTTTTTGGAGAACACTTGCACTAAACACACACACACACAGTTATTTACAGTTGGTTATCTCCATCACAGTGAATTTCTTGTTTATCTGTTTTGTGCTACTCAGTCCAAGGGAGGAGGGTTTGGCGTTTTGGTCGCCATCTAAAATGAAATATTTTCTAAGTTTGTTCAGAAGAATCAGTTGCTGTGAACCTTCAAGTCAGAGTGACTGAGATTTATGTGTCTCTCATGGTAGGGAAGTAAGCTACTTTCTGTGCCTAAAGCTTCTAGAAACCCAGAAGGTAGCTTTGTTTTCCTCTTCCTAGAAGAGGAAAGGAGTCTTCAAGGTTTCTGGAGAGCTTGAAGCAGATCTTTCTGTTTGCGTCCGTGAATGTTTTGGGTTTTCTTCTAATCCTGTGACTTGCTTCTGTTGTAAAGTGAAGGCTCTGGATCAGTGCTTAGTATAAGGTCCTCATTCACAATTGAATGCAGTAACTATGTAGGGAGCATAATTTTCTGGGTGAATGTCATATAAAAATTACCCTGTCGTGTTAAACGGTGAGAGAATAGGTTATATAAGGAGACAAACAAAGTAAACCAAACTTTCCACATTTGACTATAAAGTAAGAGTTTTGAGTACAATATGCACAAGTTGGGGTGAACCTGTGTGAGAAATGAGATTTGGTTTGCTTGTGGAGATGTATACTGGCAAATGAAGAAAAAAGTGAAATTGTTACGTGAACAGCGGTCTGATGGTCCCTTAATGGCAAGGATGTCAGAAGAAAGTGTCCCGGTAGCTCTATTGCTTAAATAAAATTAGTATTAAACCCAACAGTAAAGTCATAAATAAATACAATTTTTTTTGTGTTATTTGATCTATTTACATTTGCAAATGTAACAGTCAACTATTAGTGTGGTTAGATTCTTAGCTCACTGCAGGTGCTCTTCACTCTGTGACCTTGCAGAGCAGCAGCGTGGGCAGGGTTGGAGCGAGCAGTACTCCGAGTGTACACTTGAGGGCTCCGAAGACTGTGAGGAACCGTGCAGAAGCACTTGCAGTTGAAGAATGTATTTTAACTAAATTGGTGCATTGTACCTGCACGGGGTTTAATGCTTGCTGGGCCATTTGGCTATTTGCCATAATTGGCTTTCCATTCCCTTGATTGGAATCATAGATAAAAATTTGCTAATCCACTTTCTTTGCTGAAAGTATTAGAAAAGTAATCCATCTTTTAAAAATGCTCAAGCAAAATCATATGGTATAAAGAATACTTTATGGAATAATGAGATTGATGAGAACTGTAAGGCATACGCCATTTAAAACATTTTTCTGTGGTTTTAAGGAGAAAAATGCAATCTGGGCACTATAAAGGCATAAGTACTTCCTTTTTTATGCACTGCCTTTTAAATGTGCATTACACGTTATGCTTTTGTCTACATGATAAAATGTGAGTATATATTTAGGAAGAAGGATTTGCTATTTATTTGTGTTTTTCTTATGTTTGAAAATATCTGATTGAAAGTTTTTGGCTGTGTTCTTACTCCCTCTCTCTTCTGCCCACAGGGCATCAGAGCACGCATTTTGGAAACCCTTGTAATGCTTATTCTTCTTGCACTGCTTATCCTTGGAATCGTATGGGTGGCTTCAGCGCTCATAGACAATGATGCTGCCAGTATGGAGTCTTTGTATGGTATGGAATTTAAGAAAACACCAACGAGTTTCTTTTTAATTGTGGAAATGGATGTTTTCAATTAAATGTATATCTAGTAAATGCTATGCAAGTATAGCAGAGGTTGTGAAGAAGCTGTACTAATTTAGTAAATACCATTTTTTCTGTTAAATCGATTTTTAGTACGCTGAGAAGTTCCATGCTCATTTAAACACGATATATGTTAAAAACAAGTGACTTAAGTGGAATGAAAGCAAAAGCTCAAGACGCTTTTCAAGCTAAAGTACTTGGAGATTTAGTTGCCTGCAGGATTATCAAATGACTAATTCTTAATTTATTCTCGAAAATACAGTTGTTCAATCCTGAACACTTAAAACTGAATTAACATCTTCTCTTGTTTGTGACATAAGTAGCCTGTTTGTAATAAGCTTAGGCTGTGCTCCATGTTTTCTTTACAGACCTCTGGGAATTCTACCTCCCATATTTATATTCCTGTATATCGCTGATGGGATGCTTGTTACTTCTGTGTAAGTATTTTCCCAAATATTTCAAAAGGTGAATATCTTCATGTGGGGTTTTTATAAAGATTAAAAGAATTTTTTTTTTCACTGTGAAAATTTAGATTATGAAAGTTAAGAGTGGAATTTCTTTTTACGAAGTTTAAATTTAGATGTAAATTTTTTAGGTTTGGGATCTGAAGTTTGAACAAATGCTACCTTACATTTTCAGGTTTTGAGGAACTTCACACCTCACTCAAAATAATGTCAACTTTTAACCTTTTAAAGCAGGTATTTGGAAAATAGGAACTCCATTCTGCAAAGAAAAGGACAATTTTAAAGCAAAATGCCTGCAGGTGGTCAGTAATATGGAGAGAGTTATTTTGGAACACTTAGTTTGCCCTATATTCAGTAAACTACCCTTCCTTTTCTAACTGAAAATGTTCCTGTATAGAGAGAAGTTGGAATACAGTGCAGTTAGCTTTCATAATCACAACTTGCATCTAGCCAGTCTGGAGGGCAGTTACATGATTGCATGTAAAACAAATGCAATTAAAAAATCCCAGTCTTATACCAACTGTTCCTATCCAGAGGTCAGTCATTCACGTTTGGGGGAATAAAAAAGGTGATGGAAGGCTCCAAATCCCACCTACACTGTCGGTACCCCCCTGCCCTCCCTGCATAAGCTGAAAATGGCTAAGAAGGGGAGAGAACATCTCCCATTCTAGAACATCATGGTTTCACCTGTTCTCCAGGCTTTACACGTTCACAACTAGCACTTGCAGGGTTGACGTGGGAGGGGAAAGGGTGGGGAATGATTTTAAGATGTCCTTAAAAGCAGATCTGTCTATGAAGGGTGTTGTTCACAGAGAACTTGGTGAGTCTCCTTTTGTTCTCTGTAGGTGGAGATTGTTAAATCTTTTTAATGGAGAGAGGGGATGAAAGGAAAAAAAAATGTGGTTCTGAAAGTCTCATGTGGGCTATTAAAGAGTGTGAGTCACAACAGTTGCTGAATGTTTTAATGGGGAAGTTGACTTACAAACTTCCTGCATCTGTCCTGCAGTTGGCTTCAGCAGGGCTGAAAACACACTGTATGTTCTGGGGCTGTTGTAAACCTGTTGCAAGCCAAAATAATTTGGATTATATGGAATTTTTTTGAAGAGTTATTTGTAACTTGTACAAGCAAATCACTGAAGGAATTTATGGCCCTCTGAGCTGCTATATTTGTATAGCTGAAAGGGCAGCATACAGCAGTGGGAAGTGGTGGATATTGGGACAGAGCTTCATTAGATCTTCAACTGGCTTAATTGCTGAAGGAGGTTATGAGTAGGGCTTACTGCAGTGGTGATTTGGAGCATCGCTTCCTTTCTCTTTCCTCCTTTTCACATAGGTTTCTTCTGTAGTAAAGGAAGACTATCTTAAGTTAGCTTTTTTGAATACTCTTGTATTTTTCCTGTAACATGTAGTAGTCACCGTGAAACACTAGTTAATAAAAATAAATATAATCCTTATAAAATCCTGTGTGCTTCTTTTTCTGGCAGCAGAATTTTTCTCTAATGGAAACTATAAATTAAAGGAATTTGTTACAGCACAGATGAGGACATAATCTGCTACACACTTCAGTATTTGAAGGTGGTTCTCCCTAAACAGTGATTTTTACACATAGTTTTCTATTATCATGGGTTAGGCCTTTCTCCCGACAAGTGTATATTCCATACCTGGAAACCATCACAGGCTACAATCGAAAAGGACCAGTAGTTATTTCATGGAAAAGAAGCTTTAGATCTGGTAGCTGAGCCTACTGTCAGCTGAAGTTGCAGTATAACTTTCAGAGCAAAGCAACCTCATGACCTCTTGACAGCTACACAGCTAATAGATTAAATGTGCCTGGGATGTTCTCCAGAGCTGTGGCCAGCTAATGTTAGTTGTTCCATCTATATTTTGCTGTTTGCAGAAGGTGGCTGTGTACTTATTGCCTTATGATAATTGTTCCTGGACTGCATGAACTGCAGAACTGCAACAGAGAATTGTTTGGGAAGGTGGTAACTGGCCCAAAGCAGATCATGCCAGGGATAGGTCTGGCAACTTACTGGTGTAGGCAATCAAGTCTTAATGCCTAAGTGTATCCTGGCTCTGGTGAATTTACTAGTTTAGATATAGTCTTTGGTGCCACATGCTTTGAATAAATACCTGATCAAGTTTAAGATACCTGATTATATGGTGTTCCTTGCTGACAATTTCACAGCTATGCTCTTGGAAGGGAGATGCTTGTCTTGTTCAAAACTCATATGATAGCTGTGTGTTTTAAAGTTCAGATTGGAGTTTGAAACTCTTGCAGTTCTCTTCAAAACCATACTTGGTTATATGTAGAATACAACATTGAATATCCCAATAAAAATTGGTTTCTGACTTACAAATCACTGTTTTGCATCATCTCTCTCTCTGCAGTATGCACGCCAGTGGGACTTTCACGGATGTTTACAGTAATGGGTCAGTTGCTGGTGAAGCCAACAGTAAGTGTTAAACACATCTGTCCTCCTATTAGAAAGTAGAATGGCTAGAAGGTTAGAAGATAGAGTTAAGGTACTTTCTCCTAGAATGCTTGTGCTTCTACATAATTCTCTTTTCACTTCATCAGAATTTCTGTAGTCAGTATTTGTGTACTTGTTGACAACTTTTCATATAACACAAAAGCATTTTTTTCCCCCAAAGTTTCTTTTAGTAGTATAGACTTCCTCTGATTTTCCACTTTAATTGCTACTAATATTCACACTTATTGCCACTATTGCCTACTGTGTTTGTTTTGCAAATGTCTGAAAAGTTTGGGTTTGTTTGGAGTTCAAGAGCAAATGATAAGCTTAGTCCACTTAGGTGGGTGGGATGTAGGCAGTTGGCATCTGTAAGAACTTGTACACAATACTCTACTGGTCTTATACTTCATGCTGTGAAGGAAGGGAGAAGTTTGTACCATGTACAAGTGCTCTAGTGACTTGGCTGTCATGTTTACTAGTTTCTATTTACTAAAATTTGGGTGCACTTGAATTACTTTTCATTTCAGTTCAACTCTGAAAACACAAAGAAAATATATACTCTTTTGCTGTCTGTAAGCTTTAAACTCAAAGCACATGACAGTAAGGTAGACAGACTTCATTTATTTGTTTTTAGATTTCAATAGCAATTTATACTCATTGGAAATTTTTGCTTATGTGAAAAGTCACTTTTTAATATACTTTTTCAAAATCTGCAGTTATTTTTGTTTGAATCAAATTGTGCGAAGGTTGATAGGCTGATGTGATTTAAATATAGGCCAGGTGTACAGTCCCATCCCCTATTCTCTAAGTCTCTTTAGATTGAAACTGAACATGAGCGCTTTGACTTAAATTAAAATTTAACAGAAAGCTTGCTTACAGTAAAGAAATAGATCTTTAACAGAATGGAATAATCTTTTGTGGAGTTCTTGTTTATATAGGTATTGTAAAGTTGTAGCTATATATTTAAAATGTAGGCCATTAGACCAAAATGAACCTGACTAGATTAGTGTAGTCAGAAAAACACGTGACTCCAATACTCAGTCAGTTCATGTTTCTGTTTCCAAATACAGATCCTTGAAGACCTAGATGAGCAGATGTATATCATCACTTTAGAGGAAGAAGCAATTCAGAGGAAGCTTAATGGTATGTTTGTTCTGATACTGCTTCAAATAGAGTATTTGGAGTAGAGTGGTTCTGGTCAGGAATACTGATCTCACTGTTAAGTAGCTTCTTCTCGCAAAATAGAACATTCAGCATCTTGGTGTGTACAAGCTTACATTTCATTGTTTACTGGGTTGTTCAGGATTAGGCTCTCGTGTGTGATTCTGTCCATGTCATGACACATCTGTGGTTGTGTTGTCTTATGACTTATTTGAGCCTTAATTTTCTTAATTTCCTGCCTTTCTCTCTTACTCTTCGATCTTCTGTAATATATCTCAATCTTTTCTTTCAAGTCTCAATAAGTCTCCTTTAAAAGTTTCTTGGTCAGGGAAAGTACCCTTGACAACAGCACATCATGGTGATCATTTTTATTCCAACATACAAAATTTATGGAGGAGCAGTGACTTCTTTGTGCTAATGTTGATCACGATTTAAAAGTAATTGTTCATCTTTGCTGTTTTGGAAGCTTAAGTTTTTATGCTGCCATGCATATATATATATATA